CATCCATCCGTTCAGCAGTTTAGGCTACCAACTCTAATGAACATCCATCTAAACTTTTGCATTTATAATATTAGTAAGATGTGAAAGTTTAGATGGTTGCATGTTTGATAGATTTTTTGTAAACTACTGAATGGATCTCTATAAAATTTGGCAGAATTGTAGAGGATAGACAGGAAGAACACAAAGGCTGTACTGTTTTTTAACTTCACGCAGACGGAGTCGGAGGACCAAGTGTTAAGATTGAATGTGGATGGCTACAAAGGAAGAGGAAGACCGAAGAAAGTATGGATGGATTGTGTGAAAGAGGATATGCTTAAGAAAGGAGTGGATTCAGATATGACGGCTGATAGAGATGTATGGAAGTGGCACATACTGTGCCGACCCTCCATAAGGGATAAGGGCAAGTGGATGATGATGCAGACGGAGTAGGAGGCAGAAGCTAGTAATATAGAGAAGCAAATTAACATGGAAAAGTCATACTAAACTTATTAACTGGGTAACTTATCATGGTAACAGGTTTTCTGTGGCAATCAATTTCTTATCCATTCTTGCAATACAAGGTGCAATAGACATGGTACTAAATATTTCATTGTGGAGTGACAAGGCTTATTAGATACCAAGTTTAAGAATCTGAAATCCTCTTTTTCGGTTCATATGCGAATAAAAATACTTTTTTTTGTTTTGAATATTTTGGACAGTTTATAATTGACACAAACCAGAGGCAGTGGCTCAACAACTCTTGCTGCGATATCTTAAGATAACGTAAGCATAAGACGTGCGTCATACTGTAATTTTTTTTATAACATAAGGTGGCAAACGAGCAAGCGGCCACCTGAATCCGCCAAAATGGCGAAGCGACCGCTGTCCATAGACATCCCCGATCGCATATGTGTTGCCTACCTTTATCCGACAGAGGAGGAGATGCACATAAAGAGAATGTCTCCTCTTCCTATGTATCTCCACCTCCGTCAAATCCAACTCCCCTTCCCATCCTCTCATGATAAGAAAAGGGTGGTAAAGGGAAAGGGACTTAAATTAGGCCTCCGGCACCACACTCATCAGACGAAACACGGCATTGCTTTCACTTGACGCCTGTCTTTTGTGTGGTCGTGGTATTACTGGGGGCGTGCCCTGCAGTGCTAAGATGTTAAAGCGGGCACTACCACTGTCAAAGGGCATCATACTAGAGCTGCATCTCAGTTGTCTCAGCTTTTTCAAAGGGAATGAAATAACAATGTGTGTTAATTCAAATGTCAAGAGTGGAAACTCAGAGTTATAGGGTGTGTGGGAGTTACGAGTCTTAGATTAGAGTAGAGGTAAGGAGATCCTTAGTGAGTGTGAGGGTACTGTCGCAGGTGGTACGAGACGGTGAAGACGACGGCGCCGGGCTACCAGGAGGCCAACGAGAAGGGGCTGGACGCGTTCAAGGCGCTCGTCAGCAGCATGAAGAAGTAAACCCAGAGGGAGCCAGAGGAAGCCAGAGGGAGCCCCACTCCGGGGAAGTGACACAACGCTAATGCTGTAGCACCTCACTGCACTATCATAATATAAGACTTGTAAACTAAGGCACAATAAATTAATTATTATTTTAAATGTGTAGTTTACTTTATTTATCTATTACTAGCGTTTGCCCGCGACTCCGTTTGCGTGAGATTAAACAAAACAAAAGCGTTCTTCCAGATTACCCCCAAATGTATTTCAAATTTTATTGAGATCCAATCAGCCGTTTAGGCTACAAACTCTAACATCCATCCATCCATCTAAACTTTCGCATTTATAATATTAGTATGATTAATAGCGAAAAACCAAACTTGAATATTAAGTGACGCTTACTGCAATCCTACATAGAAAACTACCAAAATGTGTTCAGCAGTTACTGAGATTAGCACCCACAAACGCACAGACAAATTGACCAAAAACTTAACAATTCAAGGTTCAAGTTCTCTAGTGTTGATAAAGGCTTATAAGTATGGAAGAGCACCGGTAGAGGTAGATCTAGAAAGAGATGGATGGATTACGTGAAAGGTAACATGATGAAATGACGGATCATAGAGTTATTTGAAGGACGAAAACCCGGTGCGCCAATGCTACGGGAGTAGGCATAAGGTAGGGGAGATGATGTTCACTATACAAATATACTATATTCTCAAATAGACAATTATTAGTATCGTTTTTATTAAAAAAACAGTAATTAAAAAATATTGATCTGATTTGAGAGCCTCACAATAAATAATTCGCTGACATTTCATTTAGCATTTTCTCAGTCCAGACTATCACGATTCCCTGCGCATTTTAGATCTCAATGTAACCGTAAATTGCATTGCCGTGATACATGTTCTTTTTAGATTAGTAAGGTATTATTACGAAAGTCAGGGATAGAGTTAAAATGCCTTAAAAATTTCTGCGTTAATTTTGTATGAATAATTTATACAAGTGCTTCGTTAACAAAAACCCAGCGCAACCGTTGAGAATATATTGTATCAATAGAAATGCAAATTAATCAGACATCGTGTATGTGTATTATACAAGAAACATCCTAAAAAAAGTTATTGATTTTTTTTTATTATAAAAAACTAGTTAACACCAGAAGCCCTTGGCCTACCGATATAAAACTTTTCTCTTTCTGACTTCATCTTGTCTGTGACTCTTGTAAAATTTATGAGTCGAAAAGAAAATTGTTATTCAATATTCATGTAATTACTAAATCATAATTATACTTAGCCATGACGTAATGAAAAGACAATATATTGACTGACTGAGAATGGTAGTTTTGTGATTTTTTTTAATACTCACACGGTACCTAACACTTACCTTGTAAGAGAGTTATGTTAAAACACAACAGCCTAGGTTTAGCCTGGTAAATATTTACAGAATTGTTTTGCTGCTTTGGAAAAAGTCTGGACACAAAGTTTCACCATCAACTTTACATACACTACATTAAGGAACTGCTTAAGTAAATAAAGTGTGTCAGTGTGCAATCAGTAGTTACATCAAAAGCAACATAAAAATGTTACATTGACATACATAAACAGATTGATTCGTGTGTTTTGTTCTTTGCATTGCATATTAATTAATTAAAAAAGAAGTACAAATATATATCTACGCATATAATTATACTCGTAGCTATTATGCATATATAAATACAAGACATAAAGTACATAAGACGAATTCGATTGAAACCTTCAGTCCCATTCCAACTGCGGAACAGACATCTATAGGAGGTAAGTAACAGCAATGCAGTTTTATAAAATACTCGGCAAGGAGTGGCTCGGACGCTCAGTCGCAGTCTCAGCCCTCAGCCGCCGACAAGCTCAGTATTTTTCTAGTCGTCACCACGGAATGTTCGACATCTTTAGGTTTTTGCCTTGGAGTTCAGTTTGTGTTTTAAAGTAAAATACAAGTGTTAGTACGACCGTCCGTCTATATTTTAAAGGAAATTATTTGGGTCGAAATATTTAACACTTATGCTTTACTAGTTGTTCGAGCTAAAAAGGAAATATAAGGAAATATGCACATGACTCCAAATGGGACATTTTTTGTGATGTTATTACTATACACATATCTATAATTTTTGTTTTAAATACATTTTTCTTTATTAGCAAAAGTTATATCATAAAAATGTGTATTTTTTTCAATTCCCTCGCCAAATTATAAAACGCTATTGGTCGAAGCACTGACTTATCTATTACTAGCTCTTCCTGTCCCGTCCGCGGCTTCATTCGCATTAAGTTATAAAAACTTTATTCTATTGTTTACATTTGTTAAATTCTCACACGTAAATGTCAAAATTACCGTTACCATAATAATCTAGGTTCCTCAATGTTCGCAGCTTGTAGTTTATGGTCCATTTCCCACATGAAGTTTTTTTTTTGTAATTAATTTATCCCCTAAGTTTAATAGCGTGAAAATATGTAGCGTAAAACGTGTCGTACGTGTAGTGTTTTATTAAAAAAATAGAATTATTAAAAAACATGCTGGTATTGTTAAAATAATCATTAATTGATTAAAAAATAAATTGATTGAAAAAAATATTCATTAATTTAATTTAATTTAATCTATTTATACCAGGAATAATGTAATTTAAATAAAATATTTGTCGTGTTTATTTCAGAGTAAACATTTTCAAGAAACTACAGTAAACTAAAACTTAAAGAACTAAACATAAGTGTAGAATCACGAGGAAATACAACATTGTGTATTCCTCGTGATTCACCATTATTTATAACATGTTTTATGTGCTTTCCCAAAGTTATTTAGTTAGATAGAAAAAAAACTAACGACACAATGGTCGACCGCGTTTTAGTCGCGCGAAAATGATTGTGGATTTAATTTGGTTTTCTTTTAGCTCTTTATTACAGTTTTATCTTACAGTTAACTAATAGAAACTCTGATTACTGTAACTGTACTGTACTGTAAAAAGTAATGTGTCTTAATGTTTTATTATATTACTATTGATATTGATTTTATTCCGATTCATATTCTATATAAGTATTGTTTATTTTTAAATTCGTATATAAACATAATCCGTGCCGACGTTGTTGTTTAAATCTACAGTAAAACTTTGAAAGGAACTTATAGAATAAATAATTACAGTTAAGCAATAACCTATAACTACATATTGTTTGTTTGAAATTAGGTAACACAGCATCTAATAAAATGAGTGTCATTGACTTCTACTACTTGCCGGGATCGCCGCCGTGCATCTTTGTGGAGCTAACAGGCGCCGCGCTCGGTATCGACCACAGGTTCAGGTACCACAGTAAGGATATGAGAAGAAACGAAACACTGGAAGAGGATTTCATCAAGGTATAGCGTACAGTTTAGTACCTTTATTTCCTACTTTCGATAACATGTTCTTTGACCCTTATAATAGGGTCGAAAACTTATGATAGCGATAAGCTTACTCATATGGTTACAGCTTTCTCTATGATATTCAGTCCTCAGATCACCCGCACACCATGACTATATCATAATTGTTTAATCGCGTCTTGATTCTGACCTGATATGAAGTTGCGCACACTACTCGATTTTAGTTGTGCAACTAAAGAGTTGAATAGGCTGCGAAACAAACGACAATCGCACAACAGTTGTACTATAGTTTAGACAAAAGTGTGCGCCCGCTCTTAGCGGATTGACTGCCCCAACGACTGCAAACCTTTCGTTTTAAATATCTTGCTATGGTTTTAAAAAGAGCTGTTATTAGACGCAAACGTCGCTCAATAATTACGGAAGGTTATACTATATTAAAAGTCATACTGTCATAATAAGGTTAGGGAAAAATTGTAACTTATTTCAGAACATTAAACAGTTATGTTGTGATACTTTTCAGATCAACCCTCAGCACACCGCGCCTGTCATCATCGACGAGGGCTTCACGCTGTGGGAGTCGCGCGCCATCTGTAAGTACCTCGTGGCCAAGTACGGCAAAGAGGAGCACAAGAATCTTTACCCCGCGGACATCAAGACCCGCGCCGTCATCGACCAGAGACTCGACTTCGACCTCGGCACACTGTATGCCAGATTCTACGAATACTACGTAAGTAAC